AGAAGATAGCAGAAAATGGAAAGATCTGCCATGCTCTTGGACAGGTAGGATCAACATAGTAAAACTGACAATCTTGACAAAGCAATCTACAGATTCAACACAATTCCCATCAAAATACTGGCACAATTTTTCACAGACCTTGAAAGAAAAATATTCAACTTTATATTGAAAAACAAAAGACTCAGGATAGCAAAAGAACCTGGCACAATAAAGGAACTTCCAGAGGCATCACCATCCCTGACTTTAAGGCCTATTATAGAGCTATAGTACTACAAACAGCTTATTACTGGCACAAAAATAGACACGCAGTCCAATGAAATCAAACGGAAAACAATGATATTAAACCCCATACCTAAGAACACCTGATTTTTGACAAATAAGTTATAACTGTACAATGGAAAAAGAAAGCATCTTCAACAAATGTTGCTGGCCAAGCTGGATTCTGGCATGTAGAAGAATACAGATAGACCCATATCTATCACCATACACAAAACTCAAGTGCAAATGGATCAAAGACCTCCACATAAATACAGCCACATTGAGCCTGTTAGAAGAGAAAGTGGGAGGTACCCTTGAATGAATTGGTACAGGATACCATTGACTGAACATAACACCAGTAGCAGAGACACTGAGAATGACAATTAATAAATGGGACCTCCTGAAACTAAGAATTTTCTGTAAGGCAAAGGACACAGTCAATAAGACAAAAAGGCAGCCCACAGAAAGGGAAAAGATATTCACCAACTCCACATCTGACAGAGGGCTGATCTCCAAAATTTACAAAGAACTCAAGAGGCTAGTCTCCAAATCACCAAATAATCCAATTAAAAAGTGGAGTACTGTAGGCTAAACGGACGCTGTAACGATACGCGACACACAATTACTGACAGTAAAGCTAAGTATTTAATGTAGAAAATTACTCACAAGATACCAAACCCAGAGGAGCCAAAACGTTCTCAGCTAGCGGCCGGACCGGAAGCCGAACTCCAGGAAAAAAGACCGAGACTTCCTGTGTGCTGTCTTTTCTGCCTTCCCCCATAAAGCCCCTAGCCATGCCCAAAAGTGGGCCTGGCTAGTGACGTAGTTCCACCTACGTACGTATACGTCTTTAGTCCTGCCTAAAGTGGGTGTGGTTAGCGGTGTGGTAAACCGCCCTTTTATTACCTCATCTGTATGCGCCTCTAATAAGTCACATGTTTAATGGCGGCATCAGACTTCCTCCTACAGAGTACAGTACTAAATAAAGAATGTTCAATAGGGGGAGTCTAAAGAGGCCAATAGACACTTAAGAAAGTCTCAACATCTTTAGCCATCAGGGAAATGCAAGTCAAGACTATTCTGAGATACCATCTTACTCATGTCAGAATGGCTAAAATGAAAAACACCAATGACAGTTTATGATGGAGAGAATGTGAAGAAAGGGAAACACTCCTCCACTCCTGGTGGGAGTGCCAACTTGTACAGCCACTTTGGAAATCAGTATGGAGATTCCTCAGGAAAAATGGGAATCAGTCTAACACAAGATCCAGTAATTCCACTCTAAGACACTCTAAGCTAAAAGTTGCTCATTCATACAATAAGGACATCTGTTCAACTATGTTCATTGCAGCTTTATTTTCAATTTCCAGAAACTGGAAGCAACCCAGATGCCCCTCAACTGAAGAGTGGATAGAGAAAATATTTATACAATGTACCAGCAGAAAAAAAAAAAAACAATGGAATCTTGAAATTTGCAGGCAAATGGACGGCACAAGAAGAAACCATCCTGAGTGAGGTAACCCAGCTAAAAAAAGACAAAAATGGTATGTACTCACTCATATATGGATTTTAGACATGGAACAGGAGATTGCCAGCCAAGAATCCAAACCACTAGAGAAGCTGGGAAACAGTGAGGACCCTAAGAGAAACATCTATGGTACCTTGGAGAAGGAGAAGGGTGCAGGATTTCCTGAGCAGATTGAGAGCATGGGGTGTGGGGAGAAGGAGATGAAAAAGTAGATGTGAAGAAGGAGAGGGGAGAGGAGGAAATGGGGGACCAGGAAGCTTGAGTCAGGGGAAGAATAGAGGAGAGCAGGATAAGAGATACCTCATAAAGGAACCATTATAAGTTTGAGGAGAGATCTGTAACTAGGGAGATTTCCAGATATCTACAAGCATGACACCAACTGGTAATCTAAGCAATAGTGGAGAGGCTACCTTAAATGCCCTTCCCCAATAATGAGATCGATGACTACCTTATGTGCCATCCTAGAGCCTTCATTCAGTGGCTGATGGAAGCAGAGGCAGACACCTACAGCTGAACACTGAACTGAAATCTTGGAGCACAGTTGCAGAGAGGGAGAAGTGATGGGAAAGGTGGTTAAGACCATGCTGTTTAAGCCCACAGAAGCAGCTAACCTGAACAAGGGGAAGCCCACATACTCCATTCTGATGGCTGAGAGGCGAGCATGGGACTGATCCATGCTGCATGTCAGTGAGGAGGTCTTGGCAATCTATGGGGCCTGTGGTAGTGGATCAGTATTTATCCCTGGCATATGAATTGACTTGGGGGGGGTTACTTCCACATGGAGGGATGTGATCTTTGGCCTGGACACATGGGGGAAGGCTTGGGCCCTGTCTTAGATTGTATGACAAACTTTGGGCATCTCCCATGGAGTGCCTCCCCCTCCCTGGGGAGCAGAGGGAAGATGAGATGGGGGATTTGATGGCAGTGGAGGAGGGGATGGAGAGAACCCTGTGATTTACATATGAACCTGGATTGTTTCTAATTAAATGAAAAAAATTAATCATTTTCCTTCAGGAATTCTGGACATAGGAACACATTCATATTCCAGTAGACTGTGCTATACCTGTTTACATACTTATAGTCCTATGCTGATTCTGACAGTATAAATGCATGAGACACATTAAGTCAGGCAAGAAAAGTAGGAGTGAATCACAAAGAAATTGTATGAAGGTAATGGGAGGTGTATTTTGATTAAAACATATTATATGCTAGGAGTCTTACCTGGTGTCATTTTTGTAAAATCCTTGGAGATTCAATTGTTCCTGATTTTTACCTTATCCAAAATGCTGTCCTCTTTCATTAGTCTCTTTCAGTACTCTAACCCCTTTTGCTCCTACCTACTCCTGCAATATAGTGGCTCATGTTCTCATCCTTAATACTCATAGACTGGATACATTGCCTGAACTTACTGTCTCCTGTGACTAGGAGATACTTCAAGTAGGGGAATTAGGAAACCAACCCAGGTACCTAGCCTTTGACCTACAATCTCTCCTGCCTATGAGATGTGCTAGGACTTGTGCATCAAACAATTTTCATCAGAGATGGATATTAGTTTGGGCTGCCAGCCTATGAATAATGACAGAGAGACTTATATGAAAGCTTGGCCTTGACTTTTTACTATAAGTTAAATTAATCCATTTCTATTAATCTATGTTCTGTCATGTATGCCCCATCCAGCATCCTTTGTGTGTCTTTGTACTCCCTCTCACTCAGCTAGATTTCTCCAATTTCTTTTCTCTATCCTGAGATCCCGCCTGTATTTACTGCCTAGCTATTGGTCATTCAGCTTTTTATTACACCAATCACAGTAATATACACCTTCACCTAGTATACAAATATCCTAGAACAGAAAGGATCCATCCAAAAACTGATGGAAACTGACATAGAGCCACAGCCAAACATTAGGTAAAGCTCTAGAAATCCCACAGAAATGGGGGAGAGAGACTCTCAGAGCCAGAGGTGTCAAGGACACCACAATAAAACTCCAAGAATCAACTAACCTGAGATCATAGGGGATCAAAGAGATTGCAATGACAACCAGGGATCTTACATGGGATTAAACTTGGTCCTCTGCATATATGTTAAAATTGTATAGATTGGTCCTCTTGTGAAACTCCCAATAGTAAGAACAGGGACTGCATCTGACTTTTTACTGACTTTTTGAATCTTACTCCTCACACTGCCATTGCCTTGCCAAGCTGTAATACATGGAGAGGTGTCTTTTCATAAAGAGAAATTGAAGAGGAATATACTGTAGATGATAACAGAGGAGGATGTGGAGGGAGGGACTGGAAGGAGAGGCAAGAAGGGAAAATGCAACCAGGATGTGTAGTATGGATAATAAGAACTTAAGAAACAAATATTGTGGTTCAAGCTGAAGAATAGAAAAGAAAAGCAGCTAGCCTAGTAGCTCTCATATATACCAAGCTGAAATGGCAATTCAATCTCTAGGAATCCTCAGAGACAATGCTTTATTTTTAATTAGGTTGGATAAAGGTTTGTCTACCTTGTTGATTTTTTTCAAAGAACCATCTCTTTGTGTCATTGATTCTTTGTATAGTTTTCTTTGTTTCTACTTTATTGAAGTGAGCTATCTATTTGATTATTTCCTGGAGTCTACTCCTCCTGGGTGTGTTTGCTTCTTTTTGTCTGAGAGCTTTCAGGTCTTCTGTTAATTCTCTAGTGTGGTTATTCTCCACACTTCCTTGCGTTGGAGATTTCCTTCCAGAATTCTCTGTAGACCTGGATTTGTGGATATGTATTGTGTAAATTTGGATTTGTCAAGGAATATCTTGTTTTCTCCATCTATAGTGATTGAGAATTTTGCTGGGTATAGTAGTCTGGTCTGGCCTCTTAGTGTTTGTAGAACATCTGCCCAGGGCCTTCTGACTTTTAGAGTTTCCATGGAGAGGTTAGGTGTATTTCTGGTAGGTCTGGCTTTATATGTTACTTGGTCCTTTTCCTTCACTGCTTTAAATATTCTTTCTTTATTCTGTATGTTTGGTGTTTTAATTATTATGTGGCAAGAGGACTTTTTATTTTGTCCCAGTCTATTTCATGTTTGGTAAGCTTCTTGTACTTTCATAGGCACATCCTTCTTCAGGTTGTGAAAATTTTCTTCTATGATTTTGTTGAATATGTTTTCTGTGCATTTGAGCTGGTCTTTACCTTCTTCTACAGCCATTACACTTAGGGTTGGTTATTTCACAGTGACAAAAATATGGAACTCTTCATGAATTTACACATCATCCTTGTACATGGTCTATGCTAAGCTTCTGTGTATCATTCCAATTTTAGTATATGTGCTGGCAAAATGAGCACTTCTACCTATATGCTTATAAAATTTTATTTGTTCTAACTTGCAATGTCTTGACAGGCTTTCAAGGTCAATAACATTATTAATAAAACATTTAATCTATCTTCACCTTTCATCAAGGAAACATATCTTTGAAAGAGAAACCACTCCACAAAACTACAGAAAATCAGTATACATAGTTGTAGAGCCCAGGCTCCATGAATATATCTATAAAACACTTTCACACCTAAGACTTAGGGAACATTGAGGAATAGGGTGCAGAAATATTGGAATAACCAGAAGGTTGAAGAGTTTGTTATAAGATCATGTCCCTCAAAATATAAGTAAACTACACTCATAAAGTTTCAGCATTATGACCAAAAATGTGAACAGAACACCAACAATGTACACGTGAAAGTCTATGGGTAAAATTCCAGGAGGCCTCAAATCTACACAAGAGTCTATAGGCTACTGAGGAAGGTAAGGGTTGGGAAGGTGGTTTTCTGCAAGGAAAGACATTAACATTTAGTTCTCTAGTGTCAAATGGTTATTCCTGCAAATATACATGTAAATAACATTACACAAACTGAACATCCTATTATTAGGGAAACATGTGCATGCACACACACACACACACACACACACACACGTATATGTAGATATATATGTACCTGAATATATGTTTTAAACATATATGTATGTGATTACTATTAATGACAAAAGACACTGAATTTGTAAGATGACACAGAGGTTTATATATTGGGGCATAGAGGTAGGGAAGGGAAAGGAGAAAACATTTAAGCATATCTTGATTCAAATATAAAAGAAAAAGAGCAGCTATCATACATTTCATAATTTTAATGTACTAGTGGATGCTATATGTATTGCCTTACTTTTCATTCTTTCTCAGTGTGGCTATTAATTACTACTAGCTTTTCCTCTTTAATAAATTCAATTAATAAATGCTTAGCTGTTTAGGTCATATTTATCTGGAATAAAGGAAGTCACATTTGAAAACTATTTAAAGACAATAAGATAGAATAATTTTTAGATTTTAAGAGAGTGCTGTATATTCTACATTAGGGATAGGATGACTCAATTTGGGAACAAGAGGAAACAAGCTTTCATGAACATCTTCGACAACATGCATTGAGTAATATTTTATGGGTTTAGAAAACATGGTGGAATTACACTTATACTGCATTGCACTTAAATGCTATTTTCAATTATTATGGCCATGTTTATTTTTTAACATATAGATAGCATTGTATTGTTTCCTTATGCATCTTTGAAAATATTATATTCTATCCCTCTTGATTATATAGTCATAACTAAGCAATTTAATTCTATTCTTCTAAATATAATACTACATAAAAATAAAGGTATAGATATCTTTTTTAATATATGTTTTTTATTTAAATTAGAAACACGTTTGCTTCACATGTCAATCCCAGCTCCTTCTCCCACACCTCCCTTGTCCCTCTACCAGCCCCCCTCCAACTCCCACACCCAATCCCCAAACCATTCCCCTGGGAGGGTGAGGTCCTCCATGGGGGGATCTCTAGAGTCTGTCATTTCATCCAGGGCAGGACCTAGGCCCTTCCCCATGTGTCCAGGCTGAGAGAGCATCCCTCCATGTGGAATGGGCTCCCAAAGTTCATTCATATGCTATAATAAACACTAATCTCTTATCCAAGGCCCCAGATATTACTGAGCCCTCCTCACTGACCCCCATGTTCAAGGAGTCTGGATCAGTGCCCTGCTGGCCTCTCAGCCATCAGTCTAGGGTTCAAGAGCTACCCTTGTCCAGTCAGATGTCTTTGTGGGTTTCACCAGCATGGTCTTAACCACTTTGCTCATCACTCCTCCATCTCTGTAACTGGATTCCAGAAATTCAGTTCAGTGTTTAGCTGTGGGTATCTGCCACTGCTTCCATCAGTCACTGGATGAAGGTTTTTGGATGCCATATAAGGTAGTCATCAATCTTATCAGTGAGAGGCTATTAAGGTAGTCTCCCTGCTATAGCTTAATTTGACAGTTGGTGTTATCCTTGTAAATCTCTGGAAATCTCACTAGTGTCAGCTCTCTCCTCAAACCTATAATGACTCCATCTATTAAGGTATCTCAACCTGCTCTACTCTATTCTTACCCTGACTCAACCTTCCTGCTCCCCCATGTCTTCCTCTGCCCTCCTCTTCTTCCCCTCTCTTTTCTCCCAATTCCCTTTCCCCTCCCACCCCATTCCCAATATGCTTCAGAGATCTTGCCTCATTCCACTTCTCTGGGTTATCATGCATATCTCTCTTGGGAACCTCCCTGTTTCCCAGACTCACTGGCAATGGGATTGTAGGCTGAGACTCCCCTGTTCCATGTCTAATATCCATATATGAGTGAGTAATTACCATGTTTGTCTTTTTGTGACTGGGTTACCTCACTCAGGATGGTTTCTTCTAGTGCCATCCATTTGCCTGCATATTTCAAGATTCCATTGTTTTTTCCACTGAGTAGTACTCCATTGTGTAAATGTACCACATTTTCTCTATCCACTCTTCAGTTGTGGGGCATCTAGGTTGTTATGGATAGATATCTTGTTTTCTAGTATATAAGTGATTTTTATTAAGAAATTTCAAGAAAACTCAGTGATAATTAGAAAGTTGATTAGCTGTGACTATGCCCTACTTTTGTTGTAATAAATTTCTTATTTAAGAAAAATCTCTTTACAGGATGTTTTTAACAGGAACAAGTAAAATTTGAAGTTCTGAAAAGTTTTATGTTGGGTCAGTGAAATTTGGGTTCATCAGTTCTTAACAATCTTTATGGAATGATTGTTATGTGCTATTTCCAGATTACTGACAGTTGGGAACAAGAAAATTGTCACTAAATTCTTTTAATTTCAAGACTTCAAACTTATATAAATTGTAAGGGACTACAAAGCTATGTAGTATTAATCCTTTGTTGAAAGTCAGCTAATTTTAGATAATTATATAAATTTGTGAAGTAGAAGAAATCAACACAGTTGTTCAAACTAAACTTTCCCATGATCACCACACTTGTTTCAGCAATATTTTTCCATACACAAGACTAATTATGTTCTTATACTCTCAAGTATGCATTCAGTAATATTTGACATGACATTATAAAAATCTACTTTTGAGTTACCTAGCTTCAGCAATCATCATAAAATTTGCATCTGAAAAAAGTGTTGACATGACTGAAGTGGGGTATTACATTACAGCAAAGCCTTTCTACAAGTTTCAAATATAGGGGAAAGTGCTGAGAGAAAAGAGAAATGAAGGAGCAAATCCACAGACACCTTACCTATTCAACTTTCCTGCCGAAATATGGCTGAGATCCTGTCTCATCTCACCTTATCACTTGCTCTCAGCCCAACCATATTACTTCCTATTTGCATGTATAGATTTCCAGACCTCTGTGGTTAACTAGTGGCTAGCTTTGTTCTCTGATCTTTAGGCAAGCTTTATTTGTTAAAGTATGAATAAGATATCAACATAGTTAATATCTTACATTTTAATTGCAAATCTCTTTCTAAAATAGATTTGTTTTATGCATGTTATTAAAATACACATAATATTTAGGAAATTGGTACCTTAAGGATTATCAATTACCTATAATATACCTATATAACCTATATAGAAATTCTAAATTGGCTCCTTCATTAATACTTAGTATATTTCACAAATTATTATTTAATAGTCATCATATTATATCCTAACATTAACTTGCATATGGTAAACCCAAATATAATTTAAAATTTTATGCTCAGTGTTGAACATGTACTAAAATGTGAAGATAAATAAGATCTAACCCTACAGACTGATATTTCACAATCAATCATATAATAATTATAAGGTTTCCACCATTTACTTTAATCCAAAATAAATAAGAGGATGGCCAGGTTTTTCCACTGTACAAAACCAAGACTAAAATCGCATAACTATAATTATCACATAATATCTTCATCATATTTTCAGCTTTCCACACATAAATAGCAAATTTTCTTAGTATGCGCAATTTAAAGAGGTGTTGTTTAATTAAATTGTTACAGTTGACAAATTTTCATTCTTTGAATCATTTAGCAACTGCATATTTTCATTCATTCTATCTAGTATACTGACCACAGAGACAGTTTTTTCCAAACACCACAATGCCATTTATATTTATCTGGTACAAATTTTCTCATTATTCTTCATTTTCTATGGTCACTACAAAAGTGGCAACACATTCTAAAGCATGTTTCCATTTAAGAGGAAATGAAATCATTAATTTCTATTTGTTTGTAACAAGAAGACACTTGACTGCTCAGTGTAATTTACTGCTTACATATATATCCAAGTAGACCAGGGCATCAAAACACAAACATGATTATTGGACAGAAACCTAATGAAATTTTTACTAAAAGATTATTGCATGAAAGGAAAACTAAGATTGTTGTTCAATAATAAAAAATGGTAAACAGAGGAATTCACTTGAGAAATTATAGAAAGAGCAAAGCATATGGTCCTACACATTCCTTTGTGAAAATGTACTAAATATTCTGTTTAGGAACATTTAGGTTGCTTCCAAATTTTTACAATTGTGAACATAGCAGAAATGATTATGGTTGAGCAAGTGTCTTGTGGTAGGATGAAGCCTCCTTTTGATGGGCATATGCTCAAGAGTTGTATAGCTGTATCTTGATATAGATCTATTCCCAGCTTTCTGAAGAACCACAACACTGATTTCTGTACTGGTTATACAAGATTGCTTTCTGACTATCATTAGACGAGTGCTCACCTTACTATATATACCCCTGCATGAGCTGTGACTTGAGTTATTGATCGCCGAAATTCTGATGAGTGTCAGATAAAATCTCAAAGTAGTTTTGATTTGCATTTCCCTGACAGCTAACACACATTTCTTTAAGTGTTTCTCAGCCTTTGCATTTCCTCTATCAAGAAGTTCTTTGTTCATATCTGTACACCATTTTAAAATGTATTATTTGATTTTTGATATTAATTTCTTGATT